ATGTCCCCACCATTCCACGATCTTCCATGCCCATGGCAAACTAATAGTAATTCCTCGTGCAATTCACAATGCAAGTGGGACTCGCTTTAATACCATTTAAACAAGGCAAAAGGTGCAGATCACCCCCTAAACTCACCAACTGGTGGCAAATCACCCCCTCAACCCTAACTGGTGGCAAATCAACCCCTCAACTCACCTACAGTGGCAAATTAGCCCCTCTCTTAACCCTTCCGTTAACACTTAACGGTCCGCTCATCAGCCCTTCCTCTGTGTTTGACGTGGCCTTCTTTTTGCTGAGGTGGATGCTGAGGTGGAGGCACAGCTGGACAAATACCTCAAAGTCACCGAATTAAGCAAAATTCTTGAATGCAGATGTCTATGAATCACAAGGAGGAAACGACTTGCCCTCAGCGGGTGACTTTCGGTCGGATGTCAAAGACGCTACCATTGAAATAATCCAGTATTTGTATCTCCACGATTCCCCGTTCACCGTAAATATCTACCCTTTCCTCAGTCTCCATGGAAACAATCATTTCCCTATTGAGTTTGCTTTCTTTGATGGTGAAAGCACACGGGTTAAGGACGGTGACCGAATTTACACGAACGTGTTCAACGCGAACCTGGATACTCTGGTTTCAGCCCTGGACAAAAACGGATTCTCCAATATGACGATTATCATCGGAGAAGTTGGTTGGCAAACAGATGGAGACAAAAACGCGAACACCCAGAATGCAAGGAGATTCAACCAGGGTTTGCTCGAACATGCTATGAGTGGGAACGGAACCCCAGCTCGGGGTGGCCCAATTAATGTCTACCTCTTTAGCCTAATCGACGAGAACGCCAAGGACATTAATGCCGGAACCTTCGAGGGGTATTGGGGAATCTTTGAGTTCGACAGAAAACCCAAATACGAACTGGATTTAACGGGAAAGAACGGAAACAAAGGTCTAGCTGCAGTGGAGGGGGTAAGGTATCTGAGCAAGAGATGGTGCGTTTTCAACCCAGACGCGACTGACCTCGAGGATTTACCAGATAGCATCAGTTATGCCTGCGCTCACTCCGATTGCACTGTGTTGGGCTACGGCTCCTCCTGCAATCACCTGAACCCAGAGGGAAATGCCTCGTATGCCTTCAACATGTACTATCAAGTGAATAACTAGAACGATGGGAACTGTGATTTCTCGAGGTTGGCGATTGTGACGGATGAGGACCCGTCGGACAAGGTTTGCCAATTTCCAGTGATGATAGCTGACGGTTCTCCAGTGATGCTGCGTCGAGGAGCTTTGGGGTATTTTGCTTAATCTGGTGATTTTGAGGTATTTGTCCAGCTGTGCCTCCACCTCAGCATCCACCTCAGCAAAAAGAAGGCCATGTCAAACACAAAGGGAGGGCTGATGAGCGGACCGTTAAGTGTTAACGGAAGGGTTAAGAGAGGGGCTGATTTGCCACTGCAGGTGAGTTGAGGGGTTGATTTGCCACCAGTTGGGGTTGAGGGGGTGATTTGCCACCAGTTGGTGAGTTTAGGGGGTGATCTGCACCTTTTGCCTTTAAACAAGTTGAGCCAAAATCTTTACTAAATTAGAAATGTTTTGAATTTAATTTCTAGGTCGTTTTTAAAAGTTTAATCGTAACTTATTAATAA